CTGGTTTTCCAGCTGAATATTTTTGGGTTAAAGCACTGAAATGAAGTTAATTTCTAATGGAGTGAGGATCTTGAAGTCAGTGAGTTACTCCCAATAGAAGCAGGATTTGCATCCTCAGATTTTTTTTCCAAAATAAAATGGAGTTTCTGTGATGGAAGAATCCAAGGTTTACAGTGAGCTGAGTCCAGCAGAACCCAGTTTTATCTGAGCAAAAATAAATCTTCTGGACCAAATCCTCCTCCTCCAGGTCCTGTAGAGCCTCCAGGGGCTCCAGTGCCGTTGCTCTGGATTTAACAGGATTTTTCTGGATTTAGTTGCCCTGATCCCTGATGCTGGATGCAGGAATTTCACATTTCCCAGAAAAAGATGGACCCTGCTCCCTGTCCCCATGAGGAACTGTCCCTGTCTGCCCCAACCCAAACTGCTGCTCATGTTTTGAGTACAAATTGACATTCCCCAGGAATTCCTGATTCCAATAAAAGGCCCAGGGAACCATCTCAGCCCAGATCCTGCTTCCATGAAAAAGCTGCATGAGCTGGCACTGGCAGGAATTAAAAAAATAAAATTACAGCCAGGTTTCTGACCCATTTTAAGCAAAAAAACCCAAGATAAATCGTGGGCTTTCCTCTCTCTTTTGGGGCTGAATAATTCACATTTCCATTAGTATAAACCCGGAGCCATTTTTTAAAAGCAATCTTTAACCCATGGAATTTTTTTTCCCAGGGAAAGGCTCTGATCTGCAGAATCTAAATCAATGCCAGCCAGTTGGAGGTGCAGGACCTGGAGCGTTGAGTTTCCTGTCAGGTGGATGCACACGGACATGGATCACAGCATTCCCCCAAGGAAACCCTGGAATAAAGCAGAATTAATTATTGGATTTTTCTGGCTGTGGTTTTGCTCAGCATCTCCATCACTCTGGAATTAGAAAAGCAGAATTAATTTCATTTTTTTCGGGCTGTTCTCTGCGTGGTTGGGTTTGTTCCCACTGAAAAGGACAGCCGGGATTGTCACAGTTCCCTGGGGGATCTTCCACCCTTTCCTCCTTTCCCATCGCTCCTGATCTCAATTCCCACATTATTTCCTCATTTTTGGGAGAAGTTCTGAATTAACTGGAAAGTTCTGAATTCTGAATTAATTAATTCAGTCAATTAACTGAATTAACTGGAAGAAATTTTGAATTAATCAGGTGGGGAATGGGTTAAACCTTGGTCCCCTCCATCCCATTAATCAAACCTCAAAAAAACCTCCCCAAAATCCCAAATTAAACCAAGCTACCCAATCCAGGTAAAAAATAAAAAATTTGGGATTGATGCCCAGCTGGTGCCATGTGGCTCAACTTCCCCATACCCAGTGAAGCTTCTGTGGCCTAAATCTGGTTTTTTTTATGCATTTACCCCAATTTTACCATGGAATGTCCCAGAACCGAGTCCTGATGGATCAATGGATGAGCCTGGGAATGGAGAGAGTCCAGTCTTGATCATGCCAAGAACTTCCCCTGAGAAAATGGGTGAGTTTTAAATAATACAGAAAGACAGATATAAATATATATATAACAAAATAAATCAATAGAAAATGAAATAAAAATAAAAAACATAAATAAAAATATAACCATAAACAAATATAGAAATATATATGACAAAATGAATGCATATATGTGTGTATATATGAAATAAAGTGTGTATATATGAATACATACATGAATATACAGATATGAATGTGAAATAAATATAAATATAAGCATAAACATATATAAAAATATATATTGAAAAATATAATTAGTCTTCACCAAAGTCTCCTCTCTAGCACAGGGATAAAAACTTCTGTCTTTGTCAAATATTTTAGAGGAATATTATAACATAGAAAATATTTATAGTTGGACAGTATTTAATTACTCATAATCAATATCGATTATGTCAGTATCAATAGCAACAGTACAATTAATTATTAATATTAATTACAAATAATAGCCATTATTATAGATAACAGATAATGGTCAGGAAATGGAATATTAGAGGTTATTTTTCTTTGGTTCTGTCCTG